ATCGCGGTTGGTCAGTGGTAATTACCATGAGAAATAAGAACCAGTAGTCATGGCAATGGCGTAAGATCCGCCATGTTTTTGGCTTCACTTGAATGACTGGCGGAAAGATAGGAGCAGCTCCTCCAGTAATATTATAGCTCAGTGGTAGAGACCACTGAGCTATACTTATATATCTGGAGATCATGCTCTCGACGAAAGTGTGTGGCCAAAAACATGGCGGATTTGACGTCACAATCGACCTATTTTCATGGGGGTTTCCACTGACCCGTGGCTCGAATGTCCGTGGGCGACAAAGTTCAACCCCCCCTGGATTTTACAGTGATTTATGTACTGACTGTTGTTTGTATTAGTTGATCGACGATGGAGAGTATTTTGATTTTCGTCCTTCTGAAAATAATATTATTCTAACTGCGCGTATAAGTCAATAAAGACCGAACGCCATTAATAGAAAAAGACATGAATGGAGCATGACGGCCACAAGGACAAAGCATGTAAGTCATTGAAACGATTTATCAATTCTTGTTGTATATTTGTCAATTTGTGTTGCAACTGACTATCAAGATTCTTTAAAACACAAGTATTATAATAATCTCCAGTAAGTAAACTTAAACAAATATAGCTTGTTGAAAACCGTATTGCTATAAATTTCCCTGAGTGACAAAGGTTTTTTTAGAGATTTACCAGTTTATTCTGCTAGTAAATTGTGTGGAAGCAACTCTTTGGAATAAGCACTTATATCACCATTAAAGTTTTTTATACCTGTATGTATTCCGCTTTCAGGTATATTCTATCAAGGAAATATGGGATATCTGTACTATAAAGTGCCAGATGGCAATGAAGAAAGTCAAGTGTATTTCTTTATAATGGTCTTCCTTGTAAAAGGCAATGGCACTATTTCATTGAACATTCAAGGAACAATTGCCTTTTAAAACAAATATGCACATTTTTATGCTCGAGTTACAATGTTTGATTTTGATATCTGCATTTTATGCGATTCATACCTTATTTTTAAGTGTTCCTCAAATATTGATTCAATACATTACCTCGGGCTGACCAATTCATTCCATCAAGATATTTGCTGTGTTGGTGTAATACATGCACTCAGGTGAATAAGATGCTTGTGTGATGTTACGTACTCTGAGTGGATATCCACACTGGGCAGGCTTGAAAAATATGCCTGGCCACAGTGGGATTTGAACCTACAACCTTTGGAATACTGGCCCAATGCTCTGCCAACTGAGCTATACAGTCGGGGCAGTTCGAGTATGGTATATTTCGGAACTGAGTCTAGTTCCTTCGATATCAGTGTAATCTAGTAACCATGATATTTGTGAATATGATGCTTGTGTGATGTTACTCTGAGTGCATATCCACACCGGGCAAGCTTGAAAAATATGCCAAGCCACATTGGGATTCAAACCGACCTGACCGCGTAGCTCAGTTGACAGAGCATTGCCATTTGGGCTAGTATTCCAAAGGTCGTAGGTTCAAATCCCACTGTGGCCAGCCATATTTTTCAAGCCTGCCCGGTGTGGATATACACTAAGAGTAACATCACACAAGCATCTCATTTCATCACGTTCCTCCAGATATTCATACACTTCCTGTGAAAGAGCCAATTCCAAGTATTTAATCATTTCTGGTCACTTCCTTTCTATTTATGATTGGTTAGTTGCACAAACAACAAAGGTGATTGGTGCATTCAAACCATTTAACAGGAAGTTTACAATTATACTAGGAAGTGTATGAATATCTTGAGGAACTTAATCAAATGAATTGGTTAGCCCAAGGTAATGTATTGAATCAATATTTGAGGAACACTTCAATTGGAACAACAGTGAAGAATTATTAAAAAAAATATTTTATTCAAAAAAGATTTTCCAAGATAATTATATAATTACATTTAGTAATAAGAATAAATAATATATTCAATTTCAAATCACAACAAAATTTATTCTTTATTTTTAAACACATACAACACCAATTTAATTAAATAAACTGCTCAACCAATTCTATGCATGTCAATCCCTACTTGATGGTCATCACCTACAGTAATTATGCTAGCCTAATTTGTACACTAACACAAATAGTCAAAATAAATGTAAATGTAGCAATCTTGGCTTAGCTAAACAGACCAAAATGTGTACAAATAACTTAAAGTTGTTAGCAGAAAAATTAAGGAATAAATTTAACCCATTGAGTGGCGAAGCACCCTATTTTAGTATTTTACTCTGTCTAACGCAAGACAGTTTTACTCGTCAAGGGCAGAGCGATGGCGCTTAATGGGTTAATTACCCCTCATGTACAGTATGACCATTAATTGTACTGATAATAAACTGTAAAGATCACAGCCAAGCTGACCAAAGCAATCATTAAAGATTGTTGGTACAGCATATGGCTTTAACACTGGTCTCTGGCTGTAATCCTCCTCAAAGATATCAGCACTAAAATGCTTTGAACACAAACGACTATTTTTCATAGGAACAAACTTCACTGGCATAAGTTTGCTTATATTCTTCACCCATATGCTGTGCAATTCAGGGAATCTCTTCTCATCTGGAACGCTTTGAAGTAAATGAACAATTGTTTTTAGTGTCTAGTTAATACACTGTTCAATACGATACCTATAACTTACAATATAAACAATGCCACACTAGACAACACATGGTTTAGTTTAATTAATACAATGAGTGAAAGGCTTTGTACATTTAAAGCTAGTCGTATCTTTATCACATTGTTAAAATTCTCATTTGAAATTTTTTAACATAGCATTATCTGTTAGGATATCGATAGGATTTCATCACTGCATCACATCCATCAACTTGCATGAAAATAAATACTTGCACGACAACAGCTCCACAAGCTTATCAACATTTTAAAATTTTGTTCTGCTTTTGCACTGTAGTACACTAACATAAATTGTATTGTATGTTGCTTGCCAATAAATTTCATGAATTCACAAATTTACGCATTCAATACAGCAATACAGCATGCGTTAAATTATTACAAAAAAAGAGATTATACGAGCCTTACGCATGTGAGGACAGGTCCTTTCTTTCAGTAGATTTTTGGCAACCAGGAATTGAACAAAAAGTTGGCATGGTTGCAAATGTCTCGTTTCAATATAGAAATTTCCGACCGAAATTTTGAATTTACTTCCTTCTGTTTTAAGCAAATTGAAAGGGGGGTGTGATTAACTTTTTTCTTCACGTTAGTATTTTAGGTCAGTGGTGTTCACCATAAATTTAGGTCGATTGTGACGTCAAAATGACGTAAATTTGGCCAAAATCCGCCATGTTTTTGGCCACACATTTTTGACTGACGAGGTATTGGAGCACGATCTCCAGATATATTAAGTATAGCTCAGTGGCCGCGCTACACAAAGTAAAAGTTGCCTTCGCGTGGAAAATATGGCTTTTATCTTTATTTTTAAATGGAAAAGCATTTGCCTTAAACAAGACCAACAAAAATTACATTGTTGAGTGGAATTTTCAAGCCGTTAGCGTTGTATAATGTGATATAACAAAGCCAGGAAATTTTTGCCAGTGGAATGTTCGCTATAAACATGTAAGTTAAAACTACAATTGTCTCTTATGTAAATTACTAATAAGTAATAGCATGGTTTCTCGTGAAATTTGGATATAACATGCACACGTGAGTTTTTCAAAGACCTCAAATAGCACTCGTCCTTCGGTTTCGTGCTATTTTGAGGTCTTTGAAAAACTCGCTCGTGCATGTTATATCCAAATTGCACTCGAAACCATGCTATGACCTAAACAAAACACTTGAAATATTTTTAGTACATACCTAACCGTATTGTCTATTGAGGTTCAGTTTGTCTTGATCTTTTGTGTTTTGTTTTGGCTTGCGTAACAACGGTGAAACTATATTTTTAAACAACTATTTCTATATATTAATTACATTCTGTTCAAAACTATTCGTTTTCGCAAAAAAACCCATTGGAATAGGTTTTTCAAAATGTTTGTCTCCTTTAACAGACTTTTTCCATTTTTTATGTTTTGATATGAAATCTTTTTGCAAACGTTGTTGAAAAAAACAACAACAATTCACACTCCCCGCAACCGCACGACATTCTCTGTCGCGGAGTCTGAAATCCGCCATTTTGTGAAGACAAAATTTTTATTGAGAAAAGATAGGAGTACGCATTTTGTATCTATTATTTCTATGTTCCACATCCATAAGAGAAACATGTTTGAATCGTCCAATCCCTAGTTATTATTCTCATATTGGCCATAACGTTCTCATATTTACTTAATTGATTTAATATGACACATTAGGATTTGTTGTTAATCTTGTCAATCACGTAACTGGCGCGATACAGATTTGTGCATTTAACTGACATGAGTTGTTACTGCGATGTAAAAAAAGAGTTGATTTGCGAAAAATACAAATATTTACAAACTTACCGTGTTATTTTTTTCCTTTAAGACCTTTATCAACTATTAATCAAGTGTTTCTATGCACACACCTTATACGCAGTACACAGCGCTGTTCTTGTCCAGATGGGAAATGTGGTAGAACCCAATTGTAGCTTAATGGAACAACGTTTTCTCCGTTTCCAAGGTGATTCGTACGACTTTTAGGCGCTTCAATACAGTCGGGTTTTGCCAACTTTACCAGACACTTCTTCCAAGCATTGGTATCATCCCCTAAATTTAAACAATTACGTCTAATTGTCTAACTGGCTTGCGGGCGAGTGCGATAATCACACATAAAAATAATGGTCAACAAGTGAACTTGAAATTTCCCTTTCTTCGAAGAAAAATTAAAGCTGCACATTTGTCCGCTATATACTACCTGTGAGTTGATCAATTTTATCAGAGCGATATGGTATTTCCCACATCGTGTTATCGTTTTCATCGCATTCCGCTTCAGTCGTATCTTCTGTAATTTCCAAGTAGTTGTAGAAGTTTACCCATTTCCCATCATTAGCCACGCAGTCATCTTCGTTGTTGTATTTCGAGGCATGTCTATATCTGTCTTCGTCTGGATACTTTTCCATGCATTCGCCTAAAGTGATAATAATGATTTAATACAACATGTAACGCAACTCCTAAAGTATAGTAATAAACAACATGTAACGCAACTCCTAAAGTAATAATAATGATTTAATACAACATATAGGGAATACGACACAGTTACCCCTGCAATTACGGTGATCCCTTAATAGACTTTACCGGTGATTACGTCACGATTAACACTGTTTTCAGCTTATAGAACCACCTTAAATGGAATGGATTTCAAGTTTGTTTTTCATGGGCTAATTACTTGAAAGGTCTATTACATAATTGCAATAACATTCATAACAAACAGACAGTATATAACAGACACTATCCAGGGACATGGCCCTTCGACATTTAACACATACAGATTTCCATGTACGAGCATCATCAAAACAGTACGTGTTGCTTATAGCGCGTTCTCATAATAACTCTTCAGTCATGATTTAATTAAAGCATGCAGTCTAATATCTCTATGACAAAGATCACAACTTAAAATGTTCCATGTCTTACAAGCTCTAATAAAGTAAGAAGTCTGGAATGTAACAGTCTTTTCAAATGGTACTGTGAATTTTATTAATAAATTCTTATCTGTTTCGCTTCTGGTAATTCCGCGTCCTGATTCCTGTTATCGTTGGTCGAACACTGTCCTCGATTTTAGGTTATATATAGTTGATCAGATCATTCTTTTAAAACCTTGTACGTACTTATGTATTAAGATAATGTAACAAAAGCAACGCAATACTGAACACACTTTCATGTGAAACTGTTCCAATTAATTTTCACTTGAGAATCTTCATACTTGCATACGAAAAGAATGTGTAAAACTCGTATTTCATAGAAAAATATAGAAGACGCTCGGTCAGGAAAAGACGTTGAGACGAACTGAGACGTTGTGTGACCGCAAACCTATTTTTGACAAGCTTTCGCCTATCACACCCATAGCCTTCAATTTCACACATGAAATGTTTTTCTTAGTATGTAAAAATGTCCTGTTTATCTAATCAGCTAGTTTAGCTATTTATCTAAAGTGGAGTTTTGCATTCATTTAGTGGCGTAACTCCTTTGGGTGCCGCCAGGGACCCAAATCAATTATATAATAGGGGCCTTGTACAAGCTACGGATGACAAAGTGTCCAAGTTGATGTATTTTTCAACAAATTTTTGATGTAGCCCTCCCGTCGCTACTTTAAATCGCCCAAACGTGTCCACAGGCTTCCATGATTTCATTTGTTTGGCATAAATGTTATTTTCTCCAGCTATTTTATTAAAGCTGTTGTTGATCTTTCTTCCGATTTAAAAATATAATTTCCAGAGCGTGTTCTAAGTCAGCTGTCCTGATCATCATTCTGTAATAGGGTTGAAATATAACCATCTAGACTTACGTCTTATTTTTGTCCATATCTCCTTTTCCTGCGTTTTAAAGAATGCTTTTATTGATCCTATTCATTTGTATCTACATTCATTACCTTTAAACTTAGTATTAAAGCTTTCTTCTTTGTAGTCAGAACAATCTTCTTCCTTATTGGCTAATACAGCAATATCTGTCCAATCAGTTGGATGCCAGTATGGATAGTAATCACGTTCTTCCGGACATTCGTAACCATGTCGGTTGCCTTGCGGATTTTGTCGGGTAGACCTGGCATCATCATTTTTCAAGTTCTGATCTGCTGTGAACAGTCCTAGAAGGAAAATCTGATGTCAGTTGTATTTGTAGTTGTCTAAGTAGCACTGTGAGAAAAATAACCATGTGGTTTTTACAATTAATTGCCATTAAGTATGTAATTGATTGGATCCAAAATGCTTGCACAGGTTTGGAGACTGATTAATGGAGCAAATAAAACGAAAATTGGACCTTTCAATAGTATAGAAACGATACAGCCTTTTTAATTTAAAGATTTCACTGCACTGTAGCTACTTTTACAGGCCCGCAACCATGCAGGATTTTCGATTTACGAACTCGAAAATTTATCTATTTTCTAAGGCTTAGGAACGTTGTTTTCTGTATTCCGAGAGCAGTTTTAAGAAAGAATCAATCTCATAAACTGTGACAGAATGACTTTATAATACTTTAAAGTCTATCTTAAAAATTAAAATTATTCAGAGTCCCACATGATGAGATGCATAATAAATTCACCTGACCATAGCTTTTTTTAAAAGTTCTTGCACAGGTCAGGTCATGAATATCAGTGATACCACTATAACCACAATACAAAGCGCTACGCTATAAGGGGAACGTAATAAGGGGAATCTAGTATTACAGAAAACAACAGCTCTTCTTCGAACACGAAGTTTTCCGGTTTTAGACTTTTTCACATAAATTCTAACTGAGTCAACCGACTCGGTAGACTCACAGCTAATTACAGGCGTGTTTTTATTAATGTATTAAATGTGTGGTACAGTTGAACTGAATAAAAAGGAAATTAGTTTTGATTTCTGCAAAGGGTACAGAGTTATGTTTTCATCACATCTTTGAGATGTGTTCCTACTTTACATTATAAAGTGATCCCAATTTGGTTCTATTGACGGAGGAAGAAAAATTTTCAATCATTTCATTTCATGCAAGCTTAATATAATTTGCTCCAATTTCGAATTGTAACGTACAATCAACGTTTTTGACGAAATTTGTTTTTGAAAACATTGAAATTTCCTATAAATTTATTTCATTGCATTTATGTAAATGCGCAGATTAGTTTTTACAACTGACATGACTAGCTTGAATGAATGAATGCATGAATGAACAACTAATTTGTTTAAAGAGGGTAAAAACAAAGCTTGTGTAAAAAGGCATACGTGAATGTATTCAGGAAACAGAAAGGGCACTTTTCATCACAATACCGGGTACTTTTGGTCCTTTGAAAAAATTGGAGGGGGCGGCACGTGACCCCTGTACTCCCCGGTTCCTATATGCCCTGGTTGTTTGAATATGTTTTACGGAACGTTTTCAGATTAAATTTACCATTAGGGCCTAATTTGAAGCTAGTGCGCACAAAATGCAAAATAACATACCTACAGTATATATTTCTAAAATTTAATCTTGTAACATTTAAAATAATAAAAGTACTAATCTTTCAAAATTATTTAGCTATTTATCATAACTATTTTTGCATATATTTTGTACAGAGAATATAAAAATATATAAAAAAATATTATTATAAAATAACTCATTCCTAAATAATTTCTCAAGTTTCCAGTAATTGCTAAACCATTTATTTATTATTAGTATTATTATAATCATCTGTTAGTTTTCTGTTAAGTAATTGTATATCAATATGCCCGCTATATAATTATAGTATTTAGTTTTGTTATTGTTTAATCTTTATACATTTTTTACGCGACCGTTATGAAAAGCAATAACCTTTTTAATTGAAATATTTGAAGAACATCATATTCCTTATTTTATATTGATACAGATAGGTTGATAATTAGCTACCCTGTATAAAGAATTTTAAATGATAATGATCCTGTTGCCATTGCAACATGCAATTGATGTCAAACGCGAGCCTGCATTCGGTGCAATTACCAATACTTCACGTTAAATCATTATTTAGAAAATATATGCAAGAGGTTTCTGCGTGCATGTATTTCTAGTAATTTGAATTAAAACTCCTTACCCTTGTTCCTTGTGCGTTTAGCACATTTGTCGTACCATTCCCAGGCTTCGTTGAGAACTCGATCTTCACGAGCATCTCTTTCTGCCCTTGTCTTTTTTTTACTATATTTTTTAAAGCTTCTTTTCCGATAAGAGGGTGTTGTTGTTGTTGCACCTACATCACAGTGAGGAAAAAGTCGTTAGCATGCAGTTACAGGACACAAACAAAACAACAGTAACTCTGAAAAGTAACATTTTAATATAGTTCTAGCTTACGACTATGTTTACTCATCATCCGGAATTTGGCTAGGTTACATAACAACGATATTTATAAGTTAAAAATAGGGTACAGTCTGGTCTGCGCATGCGGACATTGGAGTCTCCTGCCGTGATATATAAACACTTTAATTAGGTTTCTATTTCATTTTATGCTTTTGCAAAGCCTGATTGTTGTATCTTGATCATTTATTATCCTGTAGAAGCATGAAAATATAAACAGTTGTCGAATAAAGTTCAATGTTTTGAATACCGAAATGTAAACAAAGGCTTTGCTTACATACGGATTATCCTACCTTTAAAGTAATTTGAAATATACAAACATATAGAAAAGATTAATTTACAAAATAAAAATTAGTTATTAAATATTATGAGGTATAAATATAAATCTTGCCATTTGAATGCATATACTATTTCAGTCCGTAAACTGACGCGTGTGTTTTGACTCCCAGACACGCGTTCCAGTTATATTCATTTCAATGGTATGCTCGCTTTACTTCCGTACGTATTTACACAGGATGGCCTCGAGAACAAATCACCCAGGATAATTTATAAGATAAGCTAACTTATTTTTATTTGTCAACTCGGATGGGCGGAATCCTAGCCTTAATTTCCTGCAATTTCATTGGCTGTATTAGCTGGCGGAATTTAACCGTCCAATATACCAGGCTACTGAAATAAGTGTAAACAAGTGAAAATGCAAAACATTACATTATTTTTAATTAAAGAAAATCTTCGCTGAATGATATAATTTATAATAATTAAATCGTGTTTGTATCATAAATTTAATATTATATATGCATTTCATAATTTCTAGACCGCGCAAGCAGAAAGTTACCTGCCGCGGCTGGGTTTTGAACCTGCGACCTTCGAATAACTAGAATTACTAGATCGACGCTCTACATACATATACATACAAAACTTTATTTAAACCACGCTAGCCTCAACAGCCGTTGGAAGGCTGGTGTCCATGAGGGGCGTGAAATGACCTATTTACAAGAAATTAACTATTTACAAGAAATACAAGATATAACAAAAATAATAACAAGTGATTTCAGCTGCACGGTTACACAGAAGCAAATTTCTCAAACTCATTCTTTGTTTCAACTGAGCTACACGGTCAGACGGATTTAAAACTGGAAATTATGAGCTATATATTGAATGTCGGTATACTCGTTTATATTAATTCAGCATCGAACAATACTAGTTCTGCAAGTGTTATGTTATGTTGTGCTATTGTTCACTCGGTACTATGATAAATAGAAATTATGAAATATTTACTCGACAACATTTTCTACTTCCAGATCTGGAAAAAAGTCCCAGGATCCTGAGGAACATTTGCCTGAGTAACAAGACTGAGGAACATTGTGAATTTTCCACATTTTAGAGGATCTAATCGTGTTTCAGATCATAATGTGAAATAAAACTCCCTTTAACAGATTGAACTGCAATAATCTTTCCTCACCAATTTTCCGTCAAATAATGGCAATATAATTGAGCTTGAAGAGTTTTAGATTCTGGATTCTATTAAAAAATACTACAGTAGTATATAGTTCTGTCTTAAACCATAATGAAGTTGTATTAATATTCGTGCAAAGTGGAAGAATATTTTTCTTCAGTATTTAAAGTGCCTATATCATGCACTTGTGGGATATATATACATATATATACTTGTGGTAAGGATTTCTTCCGAGATAAAATGAACTATATATTTGTAAATATCCAAACGTTTCGCCGTTTGGCAGGATGAAAGTAACCAGTACTTAAAAGTCACCTTTGATGCCTCACGAATGTTGGACATCAAACCACGCCACAGTGCTCAAAATGCAAGCAGTGAGCGTGCGGGTGGCGCAAAAAAAGTTCAGGCGTTCGTTCTACTATAGCGAAAAAACTATAAGAGCTACGTCGCACATATAAATGTAGCTTTATTCATAAAATGCTAACTTTAATCTTGCTAGGTCATGCAAACGATTTAATTAAATATTTACCAAGATATAAGCGTTTACAAGATATCCCCTTGTTGAACACGTGACACAATCCAGAGCTTGTGCTCAACAATATTATATTAGAAACTTAAATAATCTGTCATTGTATAAATGCAGAACTGAACGCTTTAGAAACAGTTTCTTTCCAAGAGCAATTGTTGAACTGAATGCCATGAAATAGAGAAAGTAACCTACCTTAGATTAAATGATTAAATTTTAACAATATTCTTAACTTACTATTCGATCTTAACTTATATATTAATAATATTCGTAACCTATTTTACCTTAAATTTTATGACCATGTAAATAACTATAAACTAAATTTGACTTTGAATGTAAACACATTGTAATTCATTGTTTATGCGAAAATGTGTAATTAAACACCAAATAATAATAATAATAATAATAATAATAATAATAATAATAATAATAATAATAATAATAATAATAATAAATTTAAATTTAGGTAAGCACTTTCCCAAGTTTTGAAAATTGGCTATAAAAAGACCTATTAAGTAGGCTATTCGTTCATCAATGAACTGTATTTAGGCGAACTACCTTCAGAATCCCTTTTATTTTTAAAAACAAATCTTTATTTATTTATTTATTTATTTATTAGAAATGCACGTCCGCCCCATGCAACGTCTTGCTCCCGAAATCACGCAGTCTAATTAAAGGAATCCCGGATTTTGACTTTTAATGCTGACAGACGGGGATTTTTGTCAGGCCCTCTTTTCCTTTCCATCCACCCCCGCATATAAAGAAGATCTAATATTCCCCTGCCGAGTAATTAATTTATAACAGTGCACATACCATTCCTCATAATTCTATACCCCTCTGAGGCGTCGATGTTGGTTGGCTGACATTTGTATTGCAGAACGATGTTACAGTTAAGATCTTCATGTCCACAACCATGTTGATTCGTCCACTCAAGAGGTAGGATTGTTTCACTATCGCCTGATCCACTCATGTAGTATTTCTGCAGAATAATAAAATGCTTTATTAAGCCCGGCGCACACTGGAGATATCAGCTGAGCTGAGCGTCACTCGTGACTGTTGGCATAAACAAGTTCCCCCAGTGTCCGGTGGCGTTTTGAGCGATTTCAGACACACTTGGGGGAAATGTTCATTCGTGACTGAAATTATTCAACATGTTGAATATTCGGTGCCGATGGCACGCTTGGCTGAAATCGCTCAAAACGCCACCGCACACTGGGGGAACTTGTTTATGCCAACAGTCACGAGTGACGCACAGCTCAGCTGATATCTCCAGTGTGCGCGGGCTTTAACAAAGTATACAAACAGGTGGCCTTGTGCGATAAACTTAATTTGAATAATATTATGGAGTTGATTGACGGCATAAAGTTAATGCATATTTAATGTTATGCTGGTAGATGAAGCTAACGAGAAAAACTACATGCAGTATAGAAATGATGTTTGCTTTCTACAAACCATCACTTTTCGTTTATTTCTCTACCTCCGTATGGATCACCAGTGCATAAAAACGCACAAGTTTTGACAAACTGCAGCAGAAATGTACTGTAACAATGCCGTTTCAACAACTTGTCAACAGGATGTGTTTGTACTGCTGCTTATTCCCAGCTCGTTGACAACTTGCTACAAGGTTGTTGAGCTCAACAGATTTTTACAAGTTGTTCCAATAACTTTTTCTTTTTATCATCCTGTAATTCAACAATTTCTCAACAAGTTGCGAGTGATAACCTTGTAGCAACTTTATAAAGTAACAGCATGGTTACAACTTGTTGGCAAGCTTGTTACAAACCTGTTGCGAACACAACTTTTTGCCAAGTTGCGAACACAACTTTTTGCCAAGTTGTGAGATTTTTACGTGAGTATAATGTGGGTATAGTGCCAATGTGAAATTGCTGTGCTGAGTGGTTATATTACTACCTGAAATAAACAAGCAGAAACTCGACGTTTCGAGCGAATGCCCTTTGTCAGGAGTTAGTAGTTAACTCCTGACGTAGGGCCTTCTCTCGAAACGTTGAGTTTCTGCTTGTTTATTTCAGGTAGTAATATAACTACTCAGCACAGTAAAAGTAATATAGTTGCAACATGAATTGCTTTCTTCACTACACTGACGACCAGCACTCAACATACCATATTAAACCAGTCGCTTTCTTCAGGGTTTTTTTCCTCTTTCTGGTTTTTCTCGGCCACATTGTATCCACCTTTGGCATTATTCTATATATTTGAAATATATAGTTATTTAATGAATCGAAAGGGCACCTTTATTTTGGTCAAAATGATGAAAGCCTAGTTACATTAAATTGACAGATTTCTTTATCTCTCGTGCATGTACAGAGGCAAGTTGTGATCAAAGCTGACAAAGACGCAGTATAGGATTCGTTACAATTCAACATGGGATTATATATTATATATTTTTAAAACACCATATATGAAGAAATTTGATTATTTGCCAAATACTATAGCTCTATCAACCGAGTTGATGTATAATATTACGTAATGAATAAGATTATTCATGCACCGCCAGATTGCAGCAACCGAACTTCGTGGACTGTATGGGTGTTAAATCTCTTGTAAAGGGGTTTTTTTTATTTGCATAGGTAATAGTACTGTTTCGAGTGCAACTGGGGAAAAACATGCACGAGTGAGTTTTTCAAAGACAATCATGATTCCGAAGGACGAGTGTAGGACAAGTCTTTGAGTGTATGTTTTTCCAATTTGCACGAGATATGCTATTACTTATAATAATATACATTAGCACCTTGTCCACCATACTTACCCGTTTGGTTGGTTAGGTGTTAGCTCAGCTGAGCGAGGGGGGTGACTTGGACTGACTACTGTTACTTGGACTCAGATTAGAATCCATGACAATGGCATCTTGAGCTGCCACCCTCCACCGAACTAACACCTTCACACCAATTAAAATTGGTGGAAATAAATTGTTGAACTAAGCGTGCAAAAAAAATTCAAAACGCACGTTGTTGTCGTTTGGACGTCAGACTTGGAATAGTAGATCTCACCTACTCCCATTACTCCATCCCCCCCCCGGTCATGTGACGTGCTGACGTCAGGATACCTGATTACCAAGTTGCTAACCTTGGTTATTGCATAACCTCATTTAATTCTAATATCGATAATTTTGATAGAAAATCTACTAAAAGCGCCAGCCATTTTTATCACTTGTATATGTATATGTATATGTTTGAGTTCTTTGTATTATTTTCTGCTAGAAATGTATCTTATAGTGAATAAAATTGGCACAGTATTTTGTTCTTGGCACTGTATTTCGAAAAAATTGCACTGCTCTTCGCCAATCAGAATTGAGAAATGTTTTCATGTATATTATTAATCTATTAAAAACGCTTTCAGACGGCATGAATAAAAATGCTGCGAAAATTAATTAATATGACATAATTTGACGGTTGACCTTCAAATTTGAATTAATTAAATTAACTTCTTCAAAAAATCCATCAATCCACTATATCAACCCGCGGGATCGGAATTTTGCGTTGTGTGGACAAACGCGTATTTCGTTTCTTGCTTTGTTTTCTGCAAACCCTCCTTTCCTTCTAAGTAGGGACTGCTTGCAGTCTAGCAGCCGAATAACTGAATGATCTTTTCATTGAATTAAGGTCCGGTCACACTACACAACAAAAACGATACGATAACTTGTATATACGCGCGCTGATTGCTAAAACATTTATCGTTGTTGATCGTCCGACTGAAAAAAAAATCGCTCCGTTGAGCGATTTTAAAATCGTTATCGTTATCGTCAAACGATAATTTTATCATTTTCGTTGTAGTGTTTCCCAAATATCGCGTGTTATCGTTGTGTAATGTGACCGGTCCTTTAGTCCTTGGTTTTGATAATTTCAACACAAAGTCGTTATACTCCTGAGATTACAACTAACGTTATAGGAAACCTTTTTCTTCTTAAAACGTATTTCCAGCAGAGAATGATATCAGAAAATATACCACCTGAATATCTCTTTTATACAAGAACGCCATTGCATTTATTCTACAATATTAATTGGATGTGAACTGTGGTTTTCCTGTGGAATATCTCAGCAGCACTAAATTCCTGCCTTGCCCAATGTACGTAACAACTCCTTACTCAACTGACGACTTACCTGTGAGTCGAAAACTCTATTTGCATTCTTACGATTTGCTTTGTCTCCATTCAGCCTGTTGTTTGATCCTCTGGGATTATGAAAGTAGACATCAGCCTTCGCATACTGGTAAAGAGACTCATGCAACAATAAGAAAAGACAAATGCTAACCAATATATTTCTAATGGCCATTCTAATTTACCAGATAAATACCAGACGTTTAAGGTCTTTACCGTCCGTAAGTCAAAGCAAATCTGCCGTGCTTGCCTGAATCTGCTATGATATACACAGCTATTTACTACCTCATCACCCACGCACTCCTTTTATGGCAAGTTTCCCCCAACGTTCCTGCCGAACGAATTATATAACATGCATCATGGTTGACACCCACGTTGAAAGTGGTGTGTTTTTGGTTGGTACCCCTTGTAGTTACAACAATAAATTGCATGCAACCAAATCCATTCGGCATGTCAGATGAATCTTCCAATGTTTTTTCCCAATATCATGGAGACTGATGTTTATAAGTCAGGCATAGTAAAATTTACTGCAGTATTACATGCGATGTGAACTTGGGTATTTCATTAACAATGATGAATCATAAGCGGTTGTATTTGATTACCTCCAGTTCTAGCACGAAATATCTCAACGCAAAATTACAAATTCAATATAATGAGAGAGAGTTTGTAGGTAAAATCTTGGCCTATAAGTTGAGCCTTAGACAATAATCATTTTTCAAAGTTCGTTTTTAAAACATAATTTTAAAACTACACTGCCGCACTTTTGTTGTCTGATGCAACGTGCAACTGCATGAGAAGGGGATTCATCAATCAGTTAATTTCCTTTAATTTTTAGTATTTCGTGCCATGTCAGTATTTATAATAGCTCTACAGTAAGAACAATTATTTGATTATACATTGTAAAGTTTCGCCAAACGCTGGTAGTTCTGGCGACACATGCATGTCCTATGATTAAGCGCTTCAAAGCAAATTAACTATTATAATATGATAGATCGCTCTTTTAATCGGCTCGTGGTAGTCTTTTGCATCTCCTTAACTTTATCTTCCCACGCCTCTTTTGTCTTTCCAGTACAACGCCAAATCTGTGGTAATACTGAGTACAAACTCGAAAGATCATTACCACAACTGCTAAATCTTATTAAATCGTCTTCTCTTATCGGTCCATATATAAGTTTAAAATGAATGGCCACAACTTAGAAATTGGAATATCTCTGAACAAATGTTTGAAATGTCAGGATGTATACAAATCATTTTTCCTGTTATGTAATACTTCTGTTTTCTATGTTTGGATTAAAAATAGAATTCCGGCATGACAAAAATTGTTTTCTCTTTCTTCTAAACGATGCATGACCGTGGTGCCTTTGTTTGGTATTCTTGCCCCTTTTCAATTACTTTACTTTGATTTTATTTATTTATAAGATTATTTTTATTGACAGTAGAGTTTGTTCATTCCTTACTTTGTTTAGGTATATAGTTTAAAAAGTCAACAAGAATAACAAGGAAAATAGATCTATAAATTCTTAATTTAATAATCTTTAATAAAATTTTTGATGAAGACGAAATGCAATTATATCGGGAAACAACTACTGCGTACATTCCTTTGAAAGTTACTAATATTACTAATAATTTCCACACGGAATTTTCACAGCGCGCATCTTCCTAGACACAAACATAACATCAGTATATCTTTAAAATAATTATGTAATTCATTTTAGTCGTTTTTGAAATTCTAATTTTAACATTTTGTTAAGCAGTAGGAATTCAGCCAAAGGATCTGAGTGTTACAGTATGATTATTTTTCACCCGTTTCAATTACACCGCTTCGATGTGAATTGTCTTGATAAACTGTAGACAATTTTGCAAACCGACAAGGATTGCTTTTACCAAAGAATTCTTCTACCAAAGAATGTTCAGGAGAATTCCCCAAAGTATTAAATTTGGTAAATTGTATATATTAACTGATTAAAGACCGTTCACACTACACAACGATAATTATAAAAACTGAGTTTCGTTATTTCATTGTTGTGCAGTTAATAGTACTAACTTTACTAATAACATCACAACTCTCGTCCTTGTGGTGTCATTTACTTCTGGTGAACAGCTAGCACGAAGGCCCATTAGCGTTATTGAACAGACAGCTGTTTTGCAACCTTTCAAACTGCTTGATAAAAAACCCCGTGAATTTATAAGCCGACTAAACAATAACCTTGGTTATTACGATGAACGGCCAATTTTAGAAAGCTAACAAAGGCAAAACCACTTTTTAAATCGTTCGTGGGTAAATAACTCACAAGGCAGTACTCTACTTGCAGTATTAATTTTAGACACTGCTCTAAAAGAGAGAAACCTTAATGGAATGTACAAGCTATTAGCGAACAACGATTGTAAAATGTATAAAATTCAAGACCGCATATTTAACTGATCGATCTCGCCTGCTGTTACTTCTACAATATCACTACCTGTATAGCACAGAAGTGTACAATAAACTCACTCTCTCTCGCCAAGTGGGATATATAAATACAACAATATTAACGTTAATCCATGTCCTGCTTTTTGGTCTTCAAACATTTAAATTTTTTCGTGCGTTTGTCGAATCACGGAGTCAGTACAGTATTATATGATCAATCAAGGTGTGAGACTTGTACAATGACCAATGCCCCCGGAATGGCTGCGATATCAGCAAATGAACGAACATATGAACGAACAAATGTTTCAAGTAGTGATAATGTTATCATGTTCAAAATTATGCTGTACAAATAACACCGCAGGCAACTTGGTGGCATACAGTGACTATCGTCGAGTCCTCGAATCACATCGACATGTACCAATAAATAGCTATTTTCGTTCGTTGCTATTACGTTACTTTAATATTAGTTCCTTCCCCACTTAACTTGTAGCGAAATATCGATTTTTATAAAGTTTCTGTGAGTGATTGTAATTGCGAAATCGACATGGTAAACGCCCACTATATGATAACATTGCTTTCGCACCAAAATATTAAGATTTGAATTCTAGCAAGTGATCGACACAAGCCGCTCGCTTCCCACCTCATCCAAGAGCTCCATTGCCTCCTCAAGACACAAATTCTATACTAGCGGGCAAATTATGGCAAGTCTACCCCTGTTGTTCTATAGAATTATATTCCACAATTATGCCGTTATTATACCATTAATTAATCCCCGAGCCAACGGCGCGGAGAGCCGTTCCGGGTGTAAACCTCGGGCGAGGGTACGAAGTGTGAAGTTCATCAAACATCGCGGGCGCCTGACTATGATCCAAAGGGTCGATATCCCACTGATCTCAAAACAATGGCGGACTGTCATGGAAATGACGAACACTGATTGGTCAAATTTAAATTTCGTTTTGTGATAACAGCATTACGACGTCTTATTATATGGCAAGCATCACTTCCGGTGAAATGGCGGACTGCGATTGGCTGAGAAGCACTTTCAGTGATCCATTATCTTCCCGTAATTGAGCGGCGGTCCATTACGTAAAAACAAACGCATGCATTTTAAAAGAAAACAGCAAAACTAATTGAAAATTTGAAAATTATAATTTAATTTGTTATTAATAAGATATCTGTGAATGGGTTTATTTCTGTAAATAATTATACTGATGATTCTCCGTGTTTAAATAAAGTTGATGTATGTATGTATGTATGTATGTATGTATGTATGTATGTATGTATGTATGTATGTATGTATGTATGTATGTATGTATGTATGTATGTATGTATGTATGTATGTATGTATGTATGTATGTGTGTATGTATGTGTGTATGTATGTATGTATGTATGTATGTATGTATGTATGTATGTATGTATGTATGTATGTATGTATGTATGTATGTATGTATGTATGTATGTATGTATGTATGTATGTATGTATGTATGTATGTATGTATGTATGTATGTATGTATGTATGTATGTATGTATGTATGTATGTATGTATGTATGTATGTATGTATGTATGTATAATGTATGTATCTATGTATCTATGTATCTATGTATCTATGTATCTATGTATTTTTAGTTTTCTTCGACCTAATGTGTAACCACGCTAATAATATGCATTTCAAATCATGCATTTATTGTTTGTTTCAAGCATAAATGCCATGTAATAAACTATTTATTAACCTCGTTTGCTCGGTATGTACAGAGAAATATCGGACCTTGGTCTTTTTGTACAAACCTGGCCCTACGGGCTCGGTCTGTACAAAACAAAACCTTGGTGCGATATTTCTCTGTACAGACCTCGTGTTCGGTTAATAAGAAGTTAATAATAATAACAGACATTATTTGAAAATATATCTGCTTTTTAATCTGAATTTGATTTTTATACAGATACTTTTGAGAAAATTTACTGAAACTACAATTGAACAAATTAAATATTAAAGAAAAGTTATGGAACCAAACGAAAACCAGCAAGAAGACGTGAAAAAAGACGTCTGTGTAGAGACGACTGGAAAGTTAAAAATCTGGATTTTGACAACAACTTTGAGTGTGTTTGGTGTGAAATTGTAACACCTAATACTAATACTACGTAGCTTCAGTATACCACCCACCTGACCCCATTTATCCTAAGACTGAGTTACTAAATCATTTGTCTGAAACTATAGAACAGATTCTTTATCCTGAGCCCAATGCAAGAATAATTATAGCAGGAGACATTAATCAATTAAAAACAAAGGAGCTTATCAGTCAGCACAACTTGGAACAATTAGTCAAGAAGCCTACCCGAAATCATTAAATTTTGGATGTATTTTTAACCAACTGCCCACATCTTTGGGAAAAATCAAAGGTTTTCAAAGGTCTAGTAAGATCTGACCATTTGGTTGTCATGGTTTCCCCGCGACAAGTTATAAAACCCGAAAGAAAGGATGTCTACTTTAGAGACGTAAGAGCTCATTGGAAATTCGGCATGATGAGGAAATTGGAGACATGTGATTGGAGTCACATTTATAATTGCAATAATGTCAATGATACAGTTATTCTATTAAATGACACTATCACCAACATGTTTAATGACTGTTTCCCGTTAATTAAAGTAAAAATGTCAACACGTGACCCACCATATATGTCTCCTTTGGTCAAACACTTATGTAAGATAAGGAATAACAACATAACGAAGGGAGTCAATAATGATCTGCAAAAACGTATTGATGAGCTAATGCGTGAAAATCTTGTTCGTTCCGTTGATGATGAGAATAGAAAAAATAGTTTTGGATCCAAAAAGTGGTGGGATACTGTGAATAGAATTACCGGTAGAAAAAGCAAGAACAGCAATATTAGCTCAGTCATCGATCCACAACATATTAACTCGTACTTTCAAAATGTAAACACGGATGCGAACTACATATCCTGTAACGTCATCTTCATAATTTATCGTAATTATGCCGCGTTGGCGCGAAACACATAAATAATTATCGCCACGTTGTTTACTGTACGTTTGAAAAAACCTTATCTCGAATCTTGATCGTTTATGTCGTAGTAAAGCGGGGAAAGAGGTACGTTGAACGTTTAGGGTCATAGTTTACTTGTTTTTAGTCTAAGTGTGTGTCTTTATATGATGTAATTTAGTTTATTGTGTCTTATTTCTTGTAGTTTTTACGTGCTGATTTATCACTAAAGTTTATACTATTTGTATTGTATCGTGTGTGTCTCGAATATCGGCTCAGTAAAACCCCAGTTTATAAACCAATCCAAGCAACCGTTACAGTGAAAACTCTCCCGAATAAAAATCGAATCGTGCTAAATCGAATGTAACATTAAACGGACTTTCTCGAAGTGTAGTTAACCGTCATGGCCGATAAAACTGTTGATGAAATAGAGTCCGAGTTTCGTGACAGTTTATTGCGTAATTACGACCGAGCTTCGCGCGAGGAATTAAACCAAGATGCAGAACCCCAACAACAATCTATCGAGCGCCTCAGGGTATTAACAGAGAAGGGTAAGGAGTATCGTAAGGACCTAATGCAAAGGGAACTTACTCGAACCTTTAAATTTTGGCGAAAGGAACTCGAAAATGCTGAGTCAGCACTTGCAGATACATCAGATATCTCAATTTTACAGCAAAGGCGAAATGCCTTAGAAGCAGGCATGAGCAGTTTAACCGTAGCTCATGACAATTTAGTCAATCTTTTGAGTACAGCCGAAATAGACGAATTGACAAAGCGTCATGATGCATGGTACAAGGAACACAGAGAAATATTTAAGGCGCTTAACAGTAAAATCTTAGAAACCCGTAGCGAACGAGACGAACACAGTTCCATTATCTCAGGCCGTAGCAAGAGCTCACGCGCCTCCAGCCAGTCTTCTGTGGCGAAAAGGGCTGAAATGTTAACAAAGGCTGCTAGACTGGAGACTGAACTTAAGTTTCTTAAAATTGAACAAGAGAAGGCAGCAGAATTAAAACAAATCCAACTCATGAAAGAAATAGCTACAAACCAAGCAGAAATCGAGGCAGTAACAAAATTAGACGAACAGCATGACTTTGATTTAGCGTCGAACAAAGAAACTCTTTTAGAATCAGCTGTGAGCTCACACGAACGTGTCCAGGCATATCTCCAAAATCAAATTGAAGCTGAGAACATACCCGTTGTTATGGAAACTAACTTGTCTCCTCCCAAAATCGATGATTCAGCTCCACAGGTGTTAGTTCCTGCACTCAACCAAGGTAATTCAAATCCAGAAACAAAATCCTTTGTTCCCACCCCTCCTGCAACAGTGCATGCAACAAGCAACTAACGCAGTTTCCAACCCAACACTTCAACATACTCCCACTGAATTCGATCATGATCCTCATCACAATACTAGTAACGTCACTACTGTTCCTCAGCAACCTACCTCCGATGCTGGTGTTCTGAAAAGACTTGTCGACCTTCTTAGTCAGCGAAATAATCACGAATCTCTACCTCGTCCAGAACCCGAAGTATTTGATGGTAATCTGTTGCGCTATCCAACTTGGGTTAAGTCATTCGAGACGTTTATAGAAAGAAAAACCACTGATCCCTCGGAAAGGCAGTTTTACCTTGGAAGGTTCACTTCCAGCGAAGCCAGAGAGGCAATAAATGGACTCCTACCGCTGAACACTGAACAAGCGTATACAAAAGCGAAGAAAATTCTCTCTTGTCGATTCGGAAATCCCTTTCTAGTCTCTATTGCGTATAGGAAGAAAATAGAGGAATGGCCAAAGATACCAACGAACGACAGTGCTAGTCTTAGAAAATTTTCCGACTTCCTTCAACACTGCTGTACTGCCATGGGCCACATTCAGTACCTAAACGTCTTGGACGATCCTGAAGAAAATCAAAAGATTTTAAAGAAACTCCCAAGTTATATTGTCAACACATGGGGCAGAATAGATAGATAGATAGATTGTTTGTTTAATAAGATTAACACATAGCAGCCAATAAGGCTGAATTGCGTGCCAAATTTTACAAGAGAAATGATTAAAATTAGTTATTCTATATTTACAGAAGTTTAAAATTACATTACAATTTATAATTCTATATTACAGAAGTTTAAAGTTACATTACAAATTAGCTATGAAACTAGTAAATTTCTAAAAAAATGTTAGCCAGTCTAAAACTGAATATCAGAATCGATTGTCAGTTAATATTATTGATATGCCTTGCAGATGAAGGGAAAAAACTGTTTCTAAATCTGTTCGTTTTGGTCTGAGGAACAACAAAAGACCTTGAGTGTCTAAGGTCGTAATTTGGAAAGTATCTAGATGGTACATGATTATGCATATTAGCTACTGGTGTTGTGGTGATTTCATTAAACAGTTTCTCGCATGCATCCACACGCCTGTCACTTAATGGTTTGATGCCCGATTTTTGTAAACAATCCGCATAACCTGTCAGTGGATAGATGATTGATAAAACACGCTTTTGAACCCGTTTCAGGGCATTAGATAAGTAGGAAGGAAGGGCGAAGTGGAAAACTTGACAGCTGAATTCCATGACTGGTCTGACGCAGGTAGTGTAAAAATTTATTATGTCAGCTTCAGGTACATGAGCACGTTTCAACTGAATAATAAAATAAATCCGTTTGTTCGCCTTCTTAACTATGTTAGTTATGTGTTGGTTCCATTTTAGATCTTTAGAAATTGTCAAACCTAGGATTCTTGCGTGGTTCACTGTCTCGATTTGGCCTGAGATGATCTTAAGGCGCGGAAATTCTTTCTCAGGTTTTGTAAACTGATAACAAGTTCCTTGCACTTAGAGGCATTTAATTGCATCTTGTTTTCTACAGACCAATTTTGAACACAATCGACTGTATCTTGAATTTTACTGGGTGTGTTGATGTAAATGATTTCAGATACCGTAGCATCATCGATGTATTTCCATCGCTCATGATGTGGGGGGCGTAGGTCATTTATCATTAGGATGAATAACCAAGGTCCCAATTTGGTTCCTTGAGGGACACCGGAAGGAATGTCAATCCATTCAGACATACAGTCTCTTGCAAGTTTCACCCGTTGTTGCCTGTTCATCAGAAAGTCAATTACCCACCGCTTAATGAAATTTGGCATTGGCAATTGGATGATTTTCGTGGCTAAGATCTTATGATCAATCAAGTCGAAGGCCTTTTTATAGTCAAAAAGAACCACTCTTACAGCGTTTCCAGTTCCATCTGTGGCTTGAGTCCACGCATGAACCATAGAAATTAAGGCTTTTGTAGCAGATGATCGAGGGATGCCACCAAATTGAAAAGGATCAATTGACGACAACACTGCTGGAGCGATATATTTTTCAACAACAAACTCTTCTGCAAGTTTAGACAGAACCGGAGTTAACGAAATAGGTCGGAGCTGTTTGCTTATGTCTTTAACAGGTTTCTCTTTCGGAATAGGTGTAATGTTAGCTTGTTTCCAGCATGAGGGCAGTCTTTTTTGCTTGTAGGACGAATTCAATAAGTCCGATACAGAGGGAGCAAGGATTTCGGCATAATCACGAAGAATCCAATTGGGGATATCATCAGGGCCTGGAGCTTTATGCGGGTTCAAGCTTTTCAGTTTTTTCAAGACCGATGCAGTATTTGTCAAATTCATGTTTACATCTAACGGATAATCAGGAATCTCCTCAAACAAGGTGTTCAAATCTGTGACATTTAAGGGATCATAAGTATTCATTGGTTCTATTAGGCTTTTGTTAATTAAATCTGCAAAACCTTTGTGTGTTAAATGTTCTGTATCTTCGACATGAAGTTGGTTAAGCAAACTGCCAGATACAGGTCTCATACCGGAGATACGTTTAACCTCTGTCCACCAAGATTTGGGGTTAGACTTTTTCAGATTAGCAACTTTTGAAGCAAAATAGTCTGCCCGGCAAGATTTTCTCATTCTATTCACTTTATTTCGGTAGAATTTGAAAAGAGTAGTGTTATTAGATGAAAACGCACGTTGTCGAAACTTGATCAGCTGTTTCAATTTTTCGGTTATCCATGGGTTGTCGTTGCGATGGAATTTAACGTGTTTCTCAGGCATAAGGATGTCATAACCCGTCATTATTGCGGAGCATAAGATATCACAATTTTTATCGCACGGTTCGGAGGAATCGATAAGTTGGCAGTCAAAGTTACTCAGATATCGACCAAGTTCTTTTTTGCGTGATTGACGAATGTTTTTTTATTACTGTCTTTCTACTTGGGGTTTCTGATGATGTTTTAACTTTGGGCTCAACCATTATCACATTATGGTCTGATAATCCGAAAGGAGGGAAAACCATGGCTGGTTGTACATCGTAAAATTTATGCATGTTTGTAAGTATAATTAAGATCCAAAATCTTGGCACCACGAGTTGGTTTATCAACCAATTGTTTTAACTGAAAATCTCGGCAAAGATCTTTAGTGTCAAAGTGGTTAAAATCACCAGCAATAATAATTCCACAGCCTGGAAAAAGACTTTCCAGTAGTGTCAGTGAGTCTGATAGGTATTGAAAAAGATCTGTATTGCTGGAACTTGGAGGATGGTTGACGCACGCAGAAACAATGCCGTTAATTCCCCTTGGTAATCTTGGTGGTCTAATGTGTGTCCATAAAACCTCAAAGTCTAAATGTTCAATTTCAGGTAATCGTTTGAAACGGATGGAATTCTTTATGTACATGCAGACACCACCGTGGATACAAAGACTACGATCCCGCCTCACGAGGTGGTAATCAAATAAAGTCGCGTGGGTGTCACAAACGGACTCTCGCAGCCAAGTTTCAGTTATAAAACCCAAATCAAAACTTTGTGCAGAGGTCAAAATACGTAGCTCGTCAAGCTTAGGAACTAGAGACATGACATTAGTTAGCATAATTTTTGGAACGAATTCAGTTCTTGGAGAATGAGTTTTGGTAATAGGAATTTTAACAAGGTTACTGAGATTTCGAGTACACTTTGGTTTGAGTCGGCCGAAATGCTGTCTTCTAGACCTTCCCATACCGTGTACTGTAGAAATGTTTTGCAAGGGTGTCTCCGCCATTATACAAGGGTTGAGTAGCTCCCATTCTGGGTTGAGTTTATTTTCTTCTGAGTTGTGTTCATGTCATGATCTTTTGGTCGCCATGGTTTGCAAGTAACAAACGTGGGCCAGAAGTTTTCCTTCTCCACCAGTGCACTGGCGCCTGAGGGTATATGGAGTTTACACGAAAGAGTCTCTCGACGGCGGCTTCGAAAAATCGAGATATAAGTGGGGAAAATATTTCTTTGATTGAGGTAAGAAAGGATTTGACTTTTGTTTACACTTTCAGCGATTCCCGTTACGAACAATTTCTTAGTCTTACCACGTTTACGCTGAACTCCAATAAAATCATCAGGCGACTGTCCGGCCTCAGAAACCACACTCTGCGAGGTATTCTCCGAATTCTTGCTTAGGTTATTCTTGATAGGATCTTGGTGGTTTGTTTTGGTAGCGGTTTGATTAGCCGTTTTTTCTGCGTAGGTAGGGTGATGTGCTTTCGTACTATTATTATCTTCTATAGAAACATCAGCGGATGCACTATTTGGGTTCACTTCTATAGGATTTACGGAAGCATTCCCGTTTAACTCGTTAAACTGATTATTGTATTCTTCACGATTAATTGGCCTTGGTTCGGTAGTGCTCCCATTGTTCGTTCGAGGATTAGTCGATTCTTGTATGACAAAAGAATTATCAACACCAGCACTGTCGGCATCTACATAATCAGTAAGCTCGTCCGATACGCAAGGTTGCTTTGGCAAAGCGGAAATATCGGAATCAGTCTTGTTTTTGTTCACCAAATCTTGTAACTGAGAAGTTATATACGAGATAGAGACTGGATTGCTTCGCCATTGATTTGTTGACCCAGTTTTAGACCTTCAATATCCGTATGCACATCATCACATAATTCATTTTATAGTTGAGTGTGGGCTGAGGCAGATACTTGTCAATTATTTGCATGATAATTACACATCCGTTTACATAACTCTCTCATGATTTCGGTCGCATTTTCTCCATTGATGGAAAGCAATCCCTTATTCTTTCTCCATAGTATAGTTGATGTATCACAACTAAACAACTTCCTATCACCTCCAGGCTGTTCCCAAGTTCCTTTGAGTTGTAAATCTTCACTTACAAACAGTTTT